ATAATAAATTTATCATGGTAAGTTACAAACGATAAGATAAATGTCCACCCCTTTGCTGAATTATAATTGACAGTCTGTCTATGTTCCTACCCAAATCATCTTGCTGGCTATCAATCATTTTACATCGCATCATTTAGCATTTTGAAATTCACTTTAATTTATAGGAGTTTTCTTTCTGTAATTTGCTGCTTACACTAAATAAAAATCACTTTTAAATCTGAAATGCATTCCCAAAGACTGTCCCACCCTCTCTGGGGTGTCCAGAACATTTCCAGTGGTGGCCATGGCCCCCATGTGCCCACCCCTTAGGGGCGTCACTGCAAATCGTATGAATCTCTGTTTTTTAGCATCCCCTTACAACATTATTGTCACTAATGTCCACTCCAGCTGTGGATGGGTGCCCACCCCAAAGGCGATGCTCAGATCAAGGACAACAGGATCGCCCAGACCACCTTGGGCCAGTGGATCACCCACTACCCCGCCTGCCTGGGCTCCAAGGTGAAAGACGCCTTCCAGGGTCAGCTGCCGTTCCTCTTCAAAGTCCTGTCGGTCAATACGGCTTTGTCCATACAGGCCCACCCCAACAAGGTGAGTGTGCAGGCAGGCACATGTCCAGTTTTCAGGCTGAACTCGGTTACATTTAGCATGGATCGCTTTATCTCAGTCCAAACTGCAGTTTGCTGGAATGGGCTTTTGTGTCAGTGCAACTTCTGTATGTAAACAGACCTGATAACATTCAGACCAGAAGGATTTCAGGAGTTCAGGAAACACACAGCATTCGAGGTGTGATCAGCATTTCATAAGGTATTAGGAAAGGAAGTTTAAAACTAAGTTTTAAAGTCTCTGACAGAATGTAGTTAAATGTATGATTAAATTTCTTACTTTTCTATTATTTTTTTTTATCTATTTTTTGGTAACTTAGGAGCTAGCTGCCACGCTACATGCTCAGTTTCCAGAGCACTACCCAGACAACAACCACAAACCAGAAATGGCAATCGCTCTCACGCGCTTCCAGGGGCTTTGCGGCTTCAGACCAGTGGACGAGATCCTGGGCTTCCTTCAAGGTAAGTCCCTTAAAAACAACAACAACAACAACAAAACTGGATGTAAACGTTCTACTACAGGTGAGTCCATACCTCTTTGTGTGTGTTTATCTTTCAGCTGTCCCAGAGTTCCACGCTCTCGTCGGCCGGGATGCAGCAGAAGAGCTGCGGAGCAGTGTAGGAGATGAGGTTCGGACCGGACGGGCCCTGAAGAAGTGCTTCACAAAGATGATGAGCTGTGAGAAGAAGGTGTTTGTGGACGAGCTGAACGAGCTGGTTAAAAGAGTCACGCAGGAAGGTGAGACTGAATTCCAGACTGAACGAACCCTTCAAGCTCTTTTAAAATGTTCTAGAATGTAGGATGTCTGGTAGATTTGGTGGACCAAAGTTTCAACACTCGTTACATTTTCAGCTGGTGAGGTTCGCTTTCACACGGCACTGTGTAAAACGAACCAAACCAATTGAAAACCTGTTCTTCTCCTCACCTGTGGTGGCGCTGCACCAAGAACTACTGGAGGAAACAACATGAAAACCTCTGAAGAGGACACTGAGCTCAACTTCCTTCTTCATAAGATGTAAACAAAAATTGAGTAGTGTCAAATTTTGTCGTTGGTAAAAAAAAAAGGTATTTTCCCTGCTAGCGTTAGCCTGGCGCTCTTGTTTTGGTTGTATTTACCCAGAATCCCATACACTGTAGTTCACTTCCTGCTTTTGGAGTGGTCTCCAGTCTGCTTTGCGTTTACATATGCATTCAGACTGTGCCAGAGTTCACTTTCACCAAACTGAGACCTAGGTTTGTAAGCAGACCAGCATTTGCGTTTTTTGTCCGTATCAGAGTTCAATTGTGCATTCACACCTTCCAAAATGAATTGGAGGATACACTACATACTGGAGGGATTAGCATCTAGCATGTCCGATTGTTTGCTCTTTGCAGAGTAACTATGTTTCCTTTGTCCATCATCCATCCATTTTCTTTACACTCTTATCCCATTGGGTCGGGAGGGGCGCTGGTTGCCTATTTCCAGAGAGACATTTGAGTACATTTCGGGTACACCCTCGACAGGTCGCCAGTCTGTCGGAGACATTGTCCAGCAAACTGTGCAAATGGAAATAAATTTGCATAGTCGGTTTAGAAAAAACTCAAGTTTTTAGATGAAAAGCATTTGAGCTGGGATGAGGTGTTTTTGGTTGTATAGATTGAAACACTTTTTTGGCATCACACGAGTCACATGATCAACAACCGGATGTTACTGCTGCCAGAAACGACAAAGGAGACTTCAGGAAGCAGGAGGACGATGGTGCATCATAATGTTTTATTGCATCAACAAACTTAACGTGTTTTAATTGTGATTCTTATATAATGGAAACACCACAATTGGGAAATTGTGTTTTTTCAACAGTAGCGAAATATCGACAGTTTTCCTCCCACTTCTAATGGAAACACAGCTAGTGTGAATGTTCAATAGGAAGCAGGCAAAGATGGATTTATCCAAGCAAAATCATTCCACACAGGTTGTTGATGGTTATAAAAAAGCAGACCAACCTGTTTGCACCACTAGGGGTCACCATGTAGTTCTTCAACGTACCCAAATCTCCAGCAAACAGGGTCACTAACTGCATTTAGAAAAAGCAACCCTTATCCTTCTGAACATGGCTGTTTGTCCATAGGTGCAGCAGGGAAGGACACATCAAGCAGCAACGGTGACCTGTTGCTCCGCCTCCATTCCCAATACCCTGGAGACATTGGCTGCTTCTCCATATACTTCCTGAACTATGTGGTCCTGGAGCCAGGCCAGGCCATGTTCCTGGGGGCCAATGAGCCTCACGCGTACATCTACGGAGGTCAGAGGGAGCTTTTCATTTCTATACATGTGCCGTTTAGCAGTGTGTTTTCTTACCTGTTTAACCTTTGCTCATTTCATCATCGGGATCTTATGCGGATTAGTAGCCCATAATGGTGAAGAGAAAGGAAAGCGATGGATGGATTTCCAAATGTTGTGCAAATGAAAATCTGAAAAGTGAGACTGTGTATTTGTATTTATCCTCTCAAAGGTTATACTTTGTAGACTTTGTTTCACAACTGAGCACTCTATGTGCTAGCCGACGATCCATCCTACCTTGCACAGACAGAACAACGGATCATGGAATTGAATAGAGCTGTTCCCCACATAAATAAACACATCAGTGAAATTCACAAAATTGTTGAGGAAAATTGGAGAAGAATTGTTGAGGAAAACGACAAAGAAGACGACAGGAAGTAGGAGGACGATGGCGCAGCAGAATGATTTATTGCTTCAACAAACTTAACATGTTTTAATTGTGATTCTTATATAATGGAAACACCCTCGGCTACCTAGGAGTCGATGTTGCAGTTGAAGGGAAGTTGGCTGTCTGCCAACCTAATCTGTTTTTCTGGTTCTTCATCCTTCTAGATTGCATCGAGTGCATGGCCTGCTCAGACAACACCGTCAGAGCCGGACTGACGCGTAAATACATCGACGTAAACACGCTGTGTGAGATGTTGAACTACAAGCCGGCGTCTGCCTCCTCCAAAATCTTCCCTTGTGTCCCGGACCCCGCAGACCCCTGTGTGACCCTGTATGACCCCCCAGTGCCAGACTTCACTGTCATGAAGATACAGGTAGGAAGTTTTTTGTTTTTTTTTCTTTTTAATCCTGTCGTGTTGTGACTGACATGAGGGTGGTGAGTGAGCATATTCTAAGGTGCTAATATGCTAATAACTAATAACTTGGTTGTTTTACAAACTTTCAGTTGAATAAAGTTTGACGTCCATATTGAGGTTTTTGTTAAGGATTCTTGAAGTAGTTAGACATTTATATTCTACTTTTTCATGATTATTCTCTAATTTTGAAGTAGGTGACGATTGTTTACGCAGCATTTCATCTTCCTCTTACATTCTTGTTTTAATTTTTTTTAAGAAACAATACACCACATTTCCAACCTTCTGACATTTTATGATGCTAAAACCATAAACTTCACTGACATTTATTTGATTGCTATGGACTTCGATTACAATGTTCTGAAATAAATAGGTTTTTCTCTAAACAAGGAGTGAAATAATGAATTTTAGCAACTGGATTAACCAAAATGGTTTCCTAGTTTCACAATTTACACAAAGATATATTGTCTTCTCTGCTTTTTATCCAATGTCTGATTTTTTACTTATTTTTTTAAAGAAACTTATTAGCACTTGGTGTGCATTGGCATGTAAATTGTGGAGTTTAATTTGCTAAATGTGAACTTAAAACAGTGAGGCTGACCTGACTGATGGAATTCCCCTCATTTGTATAGAAACACCCAAACACAGTAACTACCCTCTAATCGGGGCGTCTCTACCGGTCTGTAGGTGCCAGCCTCGGTGAAGGACTACACCGTTGCCTCAGTTGACAGCGCCAGCATCCTGCTGGTCATTGAAGGCGACGCCATGGCGACCTCTGCCGCTGCGTTCTCCGACGTCACCTTGACGCGGGGGAGCGTCCTGTTTGTCTCGGCCAACGAGAGCGTGTCTCTGCAGGTCACCTCGCAGTCAGGAATGACCCTGTTCCGAGCCTGCAGCCTCCTGTAGCTCCTACCAAGAGCCTACTGCCGCCACTGTCTCTTGGGAAATTATTCATTCTGAATTGGGCCTCTGATTTCTGGTGTTCACTACTTGGTAGGTGGTATTAAAAGCTTAAAGAGGGTTTTCTCTGGTCCAGTTTTTCTAACTGAGTCTGTTGCTCCTTTTTTAACCGTAAGCACCCAGCAGACTGTTCTGAGGATTCTGACGGTGTTTCTTACAAATCCAGGATCATCCTGCAGGGTAATAATCAGCTTTAACTCTAGTAGTGTCGACGCAGCTTACCAATAAAGAAACTGTGCACAACCCAAGTTCTGTATCGGTGCTGGACATTTAATTTGATGAAGCAGGCTCAAACAGAACACTTGTACCATTTTTAAAGATTTCTAATAATTTAGCCACTGGAAGGTTTTTAAACGTTTCCAAAACTTCATTTAGTTCCTGTTTTTAAAATCTTTTTTTTTTCTTGAAATTAAAGGCAATCAGGTTACATCTGCTACTTGACGTGCTCAGATAAAAAAACAACAACTCTCATTTTAAATATGTTGCATCATTTCCTCCTACAAAGGTTTAGCAAAAATAAAATCCTGAAACATTACAAAATGTTTATACCACCTACTGGTCCTTTGAGGTACTACAACCACTGAGCAGCTAGTTTTCTTCCCCTGGGATCACTGATGGGGAGTTTCCAGAAAGTCTTTCCTTTTTTTTTTTACCTGATCTATAAACGTTGTAATGACAGTCTAGATGACGTAACAATGATAACAACAATGCGATTTCTGTGCATGCTGAATCCAGAGCCGTTGCTCATCTGACTGGCCGGTTTTCTGCCGTTATCCAGGCTAACCCGCCAGTGAAAGTGAAGCCGAGCCTGCTGGGCGTGATGCTTTTGACCACTAACGCTGCATGCATACGTTTTTTGGAAATGTCCTAATATTTGAACAGTGATTGACTATAAAAAGAATAGCTACAGGGTTGGACAAGACGTTGGCCCCAAGCTGTCTCCATCCTACGAGGCATGTGTGTTTTGAATTTTAGCGTCTTGTTTGGTTTGACTAAATATGCAGTGTCTGTGCTCGTACAACGAAACGCTGCATGCATGCGGGGGTTGCCAAGTTTGCCCGTCTTTAAGTAACTCGATACCAGACAAGGTTCCTTTATGTTTTCCATCTCAAAACTCCACACTTTGGGTTTTCAAGTCATCCAAGTCTAAATAAGTCCAGTTTTCTATGAGTTTGGGACTTTTGTAAACCCAGAGTGTCCTACATTTTATCTAGAAGAGTCATTTCTCATTATCCTTGAGATGACAATATAGCTATTTTGTTTTAGAACAACTTCAAACCAATTTCATATTAAAGTATTCATCATCTGACTAGATTACAATGAGCTTCTTTTTTTTTGTGGGTGTTTTGGTGCATTTTGAAGAAAAAAAGGAAACGGCAAAACTCAAGAAAACTTACTAAATTTAGCAAAAAGATTTTTTTTTTTTTGTTCTTTTTTAATGCTCGCCTGATGTTTTCTTTTTTTTGGAACAAGAGTTTAAAAAGGGAGACGGACACACATTTGTCTAAATCTTTTTTTTTTTTTTTTTTTACCAGCCACGCACAACGTCAATATCTGACAAAATTACGCTTGACGTGACCAGATAGATTTGTTTCATACCAGTAGGTGGAAACAGGCCTAATTCACATTTCATTTTTTGTCGAGATTTAAAATTTTTTGCATCAGAATTAGATAGAAACATGGCTGTAGTCTAAATTACTTTAAGAATACCCCTGACTTTATTTGAATTTCTCATCAATGAAACCTTGAGCAGTTACTCTTGTTCTAACAGCGTAATTAACTCACTACTTCAAGATTAAAATATATTGTTCTTTTTGGGGTTTTTTTCGATAATCTCAGTATTTTGAGCTGATTAGGTGAGACTTTTCCCTTACGATTATAATCCCCAGGTGTCAATGGCAGCAACACCGAAGGACTTGAAGTTGATAAATCACAATAATTACCCATTTATGTGCAGTGTAATCAATAAGATGAGATTATTCAAAGACAGCCTCAACTTCTATGTGTTTTCAGGTCAGTCTGAAAACTGTTTCACTTTGGAGCAAGTTGTTGAGTTCATGGGAATCGTGTCATGTGGGAAAAAATTTGGAAATTCAAATTACTAGAAGGGAAAACCCAAAACGAGTATTTCAACATGAATGCTGTCATCCTGCCTACCGCCCAATAAAAATCCCTTCTCTGAATAAATAAAGCTGCTTCTACATGCAGGTTTTTCGTCTCTACTTAGCTGCTCTCATGTCTCAGCTCTCTGTTACTGAAATAAGAGAAGGATGGGAATACCTCATGTCAGAGTTTCTCCTAACAACGTTTTACTGTCTTATGTTGTGTAATTCTAACGACATAACCGTTTCATCAACATTTCTTGTATATTTTTGAAGTTGCCTCTGTTACTGATCTTGTCTGAAGACACCTCTCTGTTTTGAACACTGTAGATCGAGGGCTGTGCAATGTTTGTCGGAGCAGCTGTGTGGGGAAAAATGTCTCGGATTCTGGTTAGCGTTTAGAAGTTTTGTTGTATGGGAATGCAGAAAATATGAATGTGAAGTAATAAAGTCTTGATATGCTACTGAAAACTCATTTGGGCTCTATATTTTATTTTTACCTCCACTAATAAAATGTCTTTCATATTTTTGTCACATTAAAACCACAAACATTTATTGAGTATCTGAAGGGGAAGGAAAGCGGTTAATGGTTTTCAGAAAATTTTTACAAATGCACTCAAAACAGTTGGATTTGCTGCAAACAGGACTTCTCGCCAGCTTTCTTGAAACAATGACGTTCTTGCTACTTTTCTCGTATACCAAGACATAAACTCACCGGTTAGGAAACCATAATTAGTCAGAGAAACAACCAAACTGCCCGTATTAGGAGTCTGGAGGAGAGGCTAAGGCTAACAAGCCAAGACGAACGAAAGCCAAGACACACAAAAAAAATTGGTTATAGCTTCCTGGAAGCCATGTTGGAGTTTCACCTTCAAGTAGAACAAAGAGACTCAACATACAGGCAGAGGAAGGGTAGCCTGGTAAAACCAGCCCCTTGTTATATGCCATCAGGTTCGTACAGAGGGTTGAGAAACGACTGCTTGCTGGAAGCGCAGACTCTGTTGAAGTTTTAAATGTTACCTAATCCCAAACACTTGGCCGTGATGTATGTTCAAGAGCATAACTTTGTTCTGAGGTGTACTTATTTACACATGCACAAACAGCTGTTAAATACAGAAAATGACTAGAAATTATTTTAAGCCATTTTTGGGAAATTACACTGCACCAGTTCGATGCCATGAAGCTTACCTGAAATTGTCTGAACCGTAAACAATCATCCTCCACTACAGACAGAAGTGCCGAATCAAACGAGATGGATGTTAATATTTATTCAGTATTTGGAGACGTGACAAGCACAGACTTAACTTCCTACCACGTCTCCCATTTTGGCTGGGAAACTATCGTATTTTACCCCCCTTTCCCGCATTCGTATTTTCCCGTAAAGAAACCATATCAAGTCATCGTCATCACAATATTGTCTAATATCATGCAGTCCTAATATGGATTGAACTCATCATCTTATAAGATTAAAAAGCTATACCTGTTAAAAGGTTTGAATGCATCTGCTGTTCAAAAATCCACGCTACCGCTTGAAATTCTCTCCGGTACTTCAGGTTTATTTTATTCAAGTTTAAGAAAAACTTCTCGTCACAAACAAAACAGTAAAACATCAGGTAGGTAAAGCTGCTTCTGCACACGCTGTTGACTGAACGTCAAAGTGTGACCTATTTAGCTGTCAGACTTAGAAAAAAAACAACAACAAACAGATGTGAGTTAATCTATTCAACAATTACACTATTCATTAAAACTTTCCCACTTTCAGTTAGCGTTTCAGGTCACCTGTGTTTTGTCTAAGTTTTATATGTCTTTATGTTAACATGTATCAGCTTCTCCATTATGTTGTTTCTTTACTTTCCCCGTCCGTTTGAAATTCTTCAGCAGGGGGCGACGTCCTTTTTCTCATATTGTTCCATGGCACAGTTGGTTTGCTGTCCAAAGTATCCAAAGTAAACATATGCCTGTGGACAACTTCTGCTGTCGGCTGAAGGAAGCCAAAGAGAGTTTTTAATGCTCTCACGTCCTCCAAAGCATCATGGGCCTTGTAGTTAATTCCCAGCAGCTCCTTGACAAGGTTCTCCTGGCCAAAGCTCTGCAGGCCACGGTCCCTCAGCAGCTCCCGAGCCAGCGGAAGGGTGTCCACGCAACCCAAAACTGAACCCTCGAACTGCGCTCTCAGGTCCAGCTCGTCGAGAGCCCGAGCCAGCAGGGGGCAGTCGAAGTGTCGGATGTTGTGGCCGACTATGAGGGGTCGACCGAGCATTTGAAGGAAAGCAATGAAGGAGACCACGACCTCTCTGAGGGAGTTGGTGAAGACGAGGCGACGATCTAGGTAGAGTCTCTGTCCGCGGACCTTAAAGCCCGTGACTCTGGCCGCTGCCCGCTCAATGCGACAGCGAGGGACAACGTACAGGTTGAGCGAGTGGCCGCCGCTTACTGCAGCCAGTTGGATGATCTCGCAGTGTTGACCTGGACATTAGAAACCATGAAGAGGTCAGGGGACGGCATCATTTGCTCTAGATTAGAAAGATGTCATTCCATTAACCAGAAAATTGCAGCAATTAAAATTATGGAAATACGTAATGGAAAAATGGTAACATCGAAAAGAATGAAGTTGTTTTTTTGCCCATGTCTAAACAATAATGTCATATCGAAACTTTTTGCATCACACGAGTCACGTGATCAACAATCGGATGTTCATACTGGCGAAAACGACAAAAACAACGGCTAACGGAAGTAGTAGGAGGATGATAATGTGTTTTGTGCTCTTACTGTGACAGTTCATACAAAGCCGTGCATAGATCAAACATGTTGAATCCATAGATCTTCTGTAAAAATTGCAGACTACAGCACATACATAGTAGCTCCCAAGTCTAAGGGGCTTATCGCAACAAGGTCATACTTCATAAAGATATCCAGGGACTGAGAAACCCTTCACCATTGAAGGCCGGAAGTGCTTTGGCCTTCTTGCCCTTTGGCGGCCCGTACACCACAAAAATAAATGGACAGATAAGATAAATAAAATTAAATGAATTTAGATTAGGCACCCCCTTTGTTTTCTTTCCCTTACTTCCAACTAATTTGTGTTCGTAACGCTTTGCTCTCGTCTTTTTCTTTGCTTTATTTGTCATTTCCTTAGTTTCGCTAGCGACATTTCGACATTTGCTTTGCCTTCTTCAGGTTTTTGTTTTTCCATTAAAATTTAGTTCAAGGATTAAAACACAAAACTTCAGAGATGTAAAAAGCTATTTAAAAGAAAGCTGAGCTTTTTAGGCCGCCAAGATGTGTCAGTTAATTCAAGCTACAAGGGAGGTTGTCTTCATATTTTGTAAAACACTGCATATATGTACTTACTAAAAAGAAAAACGTATTTTTTAACACAGCCTTTTTAAAATATTATTTTTAACTGTCTTTATTTGAGCAAAGCTAAATGTAGATAATTCATAAAGTTAAGTTTCTTATTTGTGAGCACAAACTTGGTGAATAAATCTGATTTTGACAGCAATAAAGTTAAAAATCAGACATCTGCCTCAATGTTTGGGGAGATTTATTCTTCCCAACACGTCCAGATCCCTCTTGAAAATGAGATCTAGATCTCAATGGGGTTTGCCTGGTTAAATAAAGGAAATAAAATAATAATAAAGAAAAACATCCAAAAGGATTTACTTTGAATTTGTGTGACTCTTTCAGTCGCCTGCAAAGTTAGTTTTCATAATTCATAAAGCTATAAGGTGCTAATTATCCCGGAGAAGTGTCACTTTTTGCAGAAATATTCTAATCTTTTTGGTCATTTTTAAACGATTAAAGAGGAACCAGGAAGTCTGAGCTTAGTCTCTCAGTAACGCTCAGTAACGTGTGAGGCTACCGCTACGGGTTGTGTGCTAACAACTTAATCTTTACCACTTAATCCATTATTATAATAAGTCATCGTACCCAGGCCTGTAGTCTCCAGGTCGAAGAAAACTAAAGGATGTTGCTTGAAGTTTTCATCTTCGTCCGTTTCTGGTTGCATCACGCGGCGACCAAACTAGAGACATTCATTACTAAATATAAACCTGACCGCTGCTCCGAGATTTAGCTGCTGAAAAATGGTTGAATTAAAGCCTTACTGTATTCGGGAAAAGCAGTTCTAACAGCGACAGGCTACATTTCCCCCGCCCATGTTTTGTTTTTTCTTTTAAATTTCGCACACGGAAACGGAAAGATTTTCAAAATAAAACCATTGTTATTGAACTTCCGGCAGATTACAAATCTAAAGCTTTTTTACGTTTGTCTATTGCAGTAAAATACTTAGTATTTTTTATTTCAAAGAAGTAAAATATGAATGAAAATAATAATGATAAAAAAGTTAAAACATTTTCAACATATATCAGTGTGACATATAATGTCAGTGTATCAACAGGAGGGCTGTAAATATTCAGGTTAGCTTAAACTAGCCTAAAATGACAGGAGGCTGTAGTTGTCTTGCAACTAGGGCTGCTACCCGTCCCATAAAATACGGAATCGTAGGTTTTAAATGATGTTTCCCGTATTGAACCGATGCAGGAAACGATTTGTTCCCTATTTCTATACTGTAGTGAGATTTTTTGAAAGGTTTACGACAGGAGTCTCAAACTCCAGTCCCGAAGGGCCGCTGTCTTGCAGTTTTTAGATGTGGCACAGGTACAAAACACTGGAATGAAATGGCTTAATTACCTCCTCCTTGTGTAGATCAGTTCTCCAGAGCCTTGCTACTGATCTAATTATTTTATTCAGGTGTGGTGCAGCAGAGGCACATCTAAAAGTTGCAGGACAGTGACCCTTGAGGACTGGAGTTTGAGACCCCTGGATTACAATTTATATAATTTACTGCAAATTTTTAGGGTTGTCTGATGTGTTTCCACGACATTTAGTTTGTATAATTGAATGTAGTTGTCCAGGTTGCACATGCAGTGTTTTTTTCATTATAAATATATCGTTGTCAAAAGATGTCTTTAAACTTTAACCATTCAGATAGGAAGTTTGTTGCAATCCTGAGAAGAAACGTGATTCTTTTCCCCTCCGTTGTTAATTTTTCTCCCCAAAACGTTGCAGCCACTTGTGTTTAAAACAGGTGTTTGTCATAAATTCACAGAGCTTTCCACCCCTCTATTTCTCAGCTGGACTATTGAAAATACTGCACAGTGTGCTATTGTTGCCACCACAGGACACTGTTTGCACAAATTAATAATCATAAATCCTTCAATCACAGCACATTTTCTAAATTACGAGCCATATTTATGCAAACATTTTTAGAGGATCAGTAAAAAAAAGTAATATATGACATTAATGCTGCTGATCATTTTGAAACAGAGTACTACCCATGTATTTTCTAACATTTGATATGACTGATATCCAAAAAATATCTATTTGAATCTACAGACCCATTTTGTCATCTAGACCGGACACTAGATGGATGGTTAATTCTCTTCAGCACGATGAAAAGCTTGACATGAAAATGGCAATTACATAACAAAAAGAGGAATTTTAACTGACGTTTGACTTTTGAGATCTGCTGTATGGGTATAATCTCTAACACACTTGTATTTAAAATAAAAAATTAAGTTTTGTTCAAGTCTTTTTTTAGAAGTACAATGCTGCCACCTAGACGAAACAACTGGAAAATGAGTTAATCAAACAGACGGCTGACACAGAAAACCTCAAATCCGAAATAATAGTTTTCATGTCAACATTTAATCAAAAAGAAAATCCCCAAATCCATGATACATACAAAGTATGTAAGACCCTACATATGTTTTTGGTTTTTTTACACTATGGTGCATAAGAGATATACGAAGAATATATATTTTCATTTTCTTTTACAAGACAACCAGAAGACAAATTTCTATGTAAAATTCTTGTATGATTTCTGATTTGGTGTAAGAAAGAGGTTTTAGGAATGTACAGAAAGTTAAGTTTTAATGGTTCATACAAATAAACTAAGTCATACTTCTCACAGAAACGACAAAGTGCACAGCTACAGGACTAAATAAATTAAACAGGTCTCATTCTTTTCTATTCTCTGATACCAAAAAATGTATTCAACCGTCATGTCATTTCATTGTGTATAAATATTTCCATTGATTTAGAGGTGCATGAGGACAAAAAAAGAAACTACATTTATCCTCACTGAGAACGGTTTTGTTTCTGTTGATATATGAACAGAAACAGGGTACATTATTAGACTTTTTCCTTTAGTAAAAGTACTTTTCATCTACTTTAAAAGTACTTATAACGACCTTGGATTTCTCGGGTCTCCACACCTTATACAGCTCCTGAAGCATCTTGGCGTCCTCCTCTGCATTATGAGCGTCATAGGTCTTTCCCAGAAACTTCCCGACTAAAGACACCTGTGAATAGCCCTTAATGCGCGGGAAGAGTCTCTTGCTAAGCAAGAAGGTGTCCAGGAAGCCCGACACCACCTGCTGGAACTGAGGGTACAGGTCATACTTCTTCATCACTCTGGTGAGCACAGGTGCATCGAAACGCATCACACTGTGGGCCGCCAGCAATACGGGGCGTTGGAAGGAGCGCAGGAAGTCGAGGAAGGAGGTCAGAAGGTCATCGATTGGGATGGTTTCCACGGGAGACCCGCGGCGAAACAGGCGGCCGGGCTGTACTGTGAAGCCTGTGACCTGTTTGGCGCTATCGGTCATGCTTTGCTGAGGGACAGTGTATTTATTGAAGACTCTCTCCTCACAGACAGCGGCCAGTTGGATGATGTCACATTGTGAAGTATCTGAACGAAGACAAAAATAATAGTAGGTTAAAGCAAATACTTGTACTCCTTGTTATCCCTAAATAAAATAGCAATGTTTTATCTTAGATGTGCTGGCCAGATGAGTCCACAGTGTATGGGGAAAACTTTATCATCTGAATACAAAAGAACAACACACTGTTCACAGTTTTCTTGGTAAAATAAAACAAATTCTACTTCACATTTCTGACTTGGTCATTCACATAGAAGCAATAAAATCATGGATTGCATGGATGACCAATCCTGTCAGAAATCAATATATATCTTCATAAATAAACTCCTGGCCCAATAAGTAGTTTAATTAATTAATTAATATACCAATTCAATCCAAGGCTTTATTAAAAGTTGATGAATAAATCACACAAATTTCAATTTCAATATTTATCTGTTCCTATTATGATTCTATGTTTTAATGTTTCTATTTTTTTGTCATTGTGTGGCCCAGAGATGCAGCCTCCATGCTCCAGGACTGTTTTCAGTGCACAGACTGACTGGCAGGTCAGAGAGGCAGCTACCTATGAGGAGGAGGTGGACCTGGAGAAATACATCTCCCTCTGTTCTTGGCTTCATCTCCAAGTGTGCTGATGATGTCACCACCACCAGGACAGTAACCTGTTACCCAAACCAGAAACCCTGGCTGAATGCTGAGGTGAGAGCTCTGCTGAAAGCTAGGGAGGCTGCGTTCAAGACAGGCAGGGCATCACCACTCCGAGAAGCGAGGAAAGAACTGGCTGCAGGCATTGTGGGGGTCAAAGCCGCATACGCCCAGAAAATTCAAGGCCACTTCACCACCAACGACCCCCGGTGCATGTGGAAGGGCATCAAGTGCATCGCTAACTGCAACAACAGGGCTACACAATGTCAAAAGGCCCCCTCACTGCCAGATGCACTTAAGTTCTACACCCGCCTTGAGGATCCTAACACCTCCCTCAGCACCAGACTAATACCACCACCTGGTGACGGGCGTCTCTGTGTAACCACAACAGATGTGAAGAAGTCCCTCCAGGAAATCAACCCCCGTAAGGCTGCAGGCCCCGACAACATCCCAGGCCAGGTACTGAGGGACTGTGTACATCAGTTGTCTGAGGTGTTGATGGACATCTTCACCACCTCACTGTCACTGTCATCTGTGCCCACCTGCTTAAAGACCGCCACTATCATCCCTGTCCCCAAGTGCTCCACAGTGACAGGCCTGAATGATGACCTATAGCCTTAACATCAATAGTCATGAAGTGCTTTGAGAGGCTGGTCATGAATCACATCAAGGACTCCATCAATGTCACTGTGGACCCCCATCTTTACCCCTACAGGAAAAACCGCTCCACTGCTGATGCCATTTCATCGGTGATCCACACAGCCCTCACCCACCTGGAGAGCAAGAACTCTTACATCCGTCTGCTCTTTTTGGATTTCTCCTCAGCCTTCAAAGCCATCGTCCCACAGACCCTGGTGCAGAAGCTCTCCTCTCTTCGACTGAGTTCCACACTGGGCAACTGGATTCTGGACTTCCTGAACAACAGACCTCAGACTGTCAGGATCCACAACGTCTCCTCCTCTGTCACCCTCAACACTGGCTCACTGCAGGGCTGTGTGCTGAGCCCCCTCCTCTTCACTCTGCTGATGTATGACTGCTCGGCAAGACATCCCAACTGTCATATAGTGAAGTTTGCCGACAACACAGCAGTAGTGGGACGCAACACAAACAGTGATGAGTCCATATACAGAGAAGAGGTGGAAAACCTGGTGCAGTGGTGCAGAGCAAATAAACTCTGCGTCAACGTGAAGACGACCAAAGAGATGGTGGTGGATTTCAGAAAGGACAAGGATCCTCTTCAGCCCCTGTACATCAGAGGAGCAGCTGTGGAGGTGGTCTCCAGCAACTGGTACTGGGTGTGTCCAGTGACTTCACCTGGAGTACCAACACCTCCTGTCTGGTAAGGAAGGCCCACCAGCGTCTCTACTTCCTCAGGAAGCTGCGGAGAGCTGGACTTGGGAGCTCAGTGGTGGAGAGCATTCTCTACACCTGCATCACCGTCCTGCTGAGAGGACGGCTCTGAAGAGGGTGGTCAAGGCTGCACAGAGGACTGTGCGGAGCAGACTTCCCTCCACCTTGGACTTCTACACAGCACGATGCAGGAGGAGGGCGCTCCTCATCATGAAGGACTCCACCCATCCTGCACAGACTGTTCCAGCCGCTCCCCTCAGGCAGGAGGCTGAGGAACATCCAAAGCAAGACCATCAGGCTGAGGAATAGTTTCTTCCCTTCAGCTGTCAAGACTCCTGAACTTGGGCTGCAACAAATAATCCCATAGATTATATACACAGATACACATAACCATATATATCACTTAAATTACTTTAACTGATATATATGTGTGTGTGTGTGTGTTTTTGTGTAGTAAATTTCTTAATCCTCAATTCATTTGTTAAACTATTTATTTGGTGGGCAGTTCATTTACCAAGTTATTTATGCACCTGTGTCTAGTCATATTTATGGCCGGATTGGTCCTCCATATAAAATGTGGAACAACTACATATTCCATCAGTGACGGTGCGATTTCACACGCTATCAGTGAGTGATATCACACTCACTGATACTGTGTAAACAGCATTGACTTTTATTGCACTGTGGTTCTCAGGAGAAATGATGTGAAGATGCAAAAATAAATATTGATTCTGGACTCCATTTTTTAAATTTTATATATAGTTTCATTTTAACTCGAACAATAAGAAGCGCAAATCTCTGTCTGCCAAACCAAACTGAACACCGGTGGTTCCCGATGTGATCAGACAGGATGCCGTATAAGAGTTGTGGTCTGGTGTTGCACGACTGCTGTCATGTGACGAGGACCATGAGTGACGAAGGCAATGGGGAAGTGGCAAAGATGGACTCTGAGGAATGTCAAACAAATGCACCAAAACAAAGAGATGACCTTTTGCACTTCACTTTGATGCATATTTGACATTTTGTTGCCCTACGGTACTGGCGGGTAGTAACAGAATCAGGTGAGGGATAGTATTACACTAGATGAGAGATTTGTCTGCTGCTGAGAGTGGTTGTTGTGGTTTCCTCTGTGTTCCTTAATTAGCTGGGGAATATTCTGGAAAGGTGACATCTAAAATTTCATGACCTGCCAAAATGTCGGGATGGTTTTGACACACAGCGTCATGTTCTTCCGCCAGCACACACAAAAGCAAAAACTGCTTCTGGTTTCAGCCTTGGTGTTGCTTAAGGGCTAAATTTCTCTCTCGGTGTGTCATTATGTCAAAAATAAAATATACACGTGAATCTGGTGACTCCAACTGAATTAGCGTGATTTATGACTAGTCTGTTTGAGGTGGAATATTCTAGATAAGCAGCCATTTTAGGACGCCCTTTAGACTTTGTATGTAAAACTGGTCACTTTGTTTATGTTTAGCATATGTTGTTCACTTCCCAAAGTACTTGTGTATGTGCAGTGTGAGTCACAACTATGTGGCATAAGGGTGAGTCACTGTATGAGGACAAAGTCTCTATCCTGTATTGAACAGGATATGTCTAAAGGAGGTTTTGGTTTGTGAACTGTCTGCCAAGATTTGCCTGGTCGCCATATAACTCCCAGGTTCACGAGACTCAAAGAACAAGCGATTATTCTTTGTCTAATGTGGATTATTTTCTCATTACTCAATCTTTATGTGCCAAACTGAGAGGATAAGTGGCATCTTTAATGATGTTCAGGTTACTTTTTGTAGAGTCATGTCGCTCCACCCTGCTCTGACTAATAAACCAAATTTAATTTCTCCATTCCAGTCCGAGTGGGAGGGAAACAGAAACGTAGATGTTCCCTGATCTTCACCTTATCAGAGATTCTACCTGACTGGCATGGCTCACGCTGGACTCATAAAGCGATCGGCAATTTTATACAACCTTGCTGGAAAACAATAAAGAGGCCTCGGCCTTTTCCCACCTGAACTAGGAGCAAACATTTATACTTTGTCTTAAAGGAAAAGTGCTCTTAAGTGGCATGCAAGTTATAAATTCAGGAGAAATCAATGGAATGCAATCTCTCAAATAAGTGAATATCAAAGGAATGAGCAAGGAAAGGTTTTAAAAAGTCACGTCTTGAAACCGGAGAAATTACCTGTAATACCATATTATGGCATTGTAGTAAGACCACAATGGAAATGAAAAGAAAAAAAAAAACATTTTTAATAATAAATTAGAAACTGGAACTAAAATTGTATAGTGTATTCAAATATTTTTGCTTTAATCTATGTATGAAAATAATAATAATAATAATATATCGATATAGACCAATGACACAGGTCAGTGTCATGACCCTCAGAATTCACTAAGCAACAAAAATACTAATGGTAAAAACATATTTATACTCAATATACAGGAGATAAAAAAAAACAACATATTTAATATTGTCCGTTTTTATTCCCATTTGTACCAACGAGGAAACAACTTTGTATCAGTATATTTCAATTTAGTTAAATCCACATAAATCTAGTGTATGTTTTACATAAGCACATCATATTACTGCATGATACATTTTTCTTCAAAAAATTGTTTTACTATAGTTTTCTTATTCACACCAAACCAAAAGCAAAAAAGCATATAATAGTGATAAAAAAAAATAACATATTAATTTGTACTGAAAAACTGATTTGTGATGAGTGTTGTAGGTATTTTAAACCATTACCTAATCCAGTGGCCTCCAGGTCAATGAAAACGATGATTTTGTCACCCATCTGGAATAAAATCAATTAAAGCCTCATTTAAAGAAACAGCTGCATTAAAAACAGATTGAAAAAAAGTGAAATCGGTGAACTTTATCAGATGAATCTCCAGTAATGAGAACATGAGGAAATAAATCTCACCTTCCAGGTATGTCTGGTTCTTCGTCAGCTGAGCAGTGGGAGTTGTGAAGCCGGCCGGAGCGAGGAGCTTCATTTATAGCAGCTCATTTGGAAACAAACCCGAGCTCCACTTTCATTTTAGTTGAAGAGAAACACATCAAGTCTGCATCGTTTCTTTCTCCCCGCCTTCGTCATGGAAAAGTCCGTCAGTCACCAATTCTGACTCGGTTCCACCGGTCTGCTTACCTGTTACAACAGGTCGTAGATGCGGAACAACAAAACACAGCTGACTTTGTGTGAAACGGGAAGTTTCGATGCTCTTCGCTCACTTTCATTTCGGCTGCCGCCGGGAGCGAGTCCGGAAAATGAGTCCTTGTTTGAAGCACACGCGACGCAGATTTGGTAGATTAAACAACGAAAACTATAATAATGAAAAAATATTAAACTATAAATAAAGTGTATGTTTCTATATTGGACGTCGTATTATTTTTTGGTAAATTTTATTGTAATTATTAAGCTGTTAGCTACTTTATATTGCTAACAAGTTCTAGTTAGTTGAATTTGAGAGTTCAGCTGAAGGTTTTTGGTTTAATCTGTTATTTCCATGTGGCGTCCGGCAGAGGGCGCCAAAGCTGACATGTTTAAATGGGTTGTATTCTGAAAAGCACATCTTAGCTGCGTCAGAGAAAATATTTACTTTGACATGCTTTGTGGCGTTAGAAGAGATCTAATTGCTTGTCTTCTATTTTTGAAGAATTACTTTTTTTCGTTAATTTCAAACCACTTGTTTTAATTTTTCCAATATTGGAGAACAGACCAGATGACTTAAATTATATTTAATGTAGTTCAGTAAGTACATTCAAAAGTATGGATTTTTTAAATACTTTTATTGAATCCTGGCAAGTTTGTCTTATGAATGATTGATTTTTTAAAGAAAAACAAAAACAGACAGAACCAGGTGTGGCCTGTTGGCAATTAAGAATGTTTGCCATGTTTAATAATCATGGTTAGACCATCGAATGTGACGCTCCTTGTCATAATTACAGTGAACTTTTCAAAGAAGAAGATGTTCTCTGAGCAGGTCAAGACCTGCTCAGGTCAAGACCTGCTCAGAGAAGAAGTCATAAACCAAATCCCTGGTCCACTCACCTGAAGAGAACTGCCAAACCAAGTCTCTTCCCTGCACTAAGCAATAGGCCAACACTGCTAAATAGAAGTCGAGAAATGAGAGCTTCTGGCTGGATTGCAATTACATATTCTTCCCAAACAGTGATGGTGAAATCCAGAGCAGTACTGATGTCAATGACTGGTGGTGGAACGTCGCAGACATCACCACCAGAGGGGCCAGTCCTGAAGCCCTAACTGAGGACTCAGAGTGGCAGTCAGGGCCAAAGTTTCTAGAACTTTCTGATGGGTGAATGGCCAAAAAGATCTGCCCTAGACATTGCTGCACAAGCCCACGATAAAGTTGCAAAGATCCAGAAAAAGGCAGTTGTAGTCATTCTTACCAGAAAACACTTGAAGGTAGCACAAGATCCAGCCCATGTAGAATCCAGAAGACCACCTGCTGGAGTAGCAGCCCAAAGCCTAGTCAACAAAATGCACTTCAGCAACCCGAGAAGGCTGGTTGGGACTGTGGTCTGGAACTTTTTGGCTGGAGGCTAAAACGTTGCTGAGTGGCAGGACCAAAGGCCAAGAAAAGTGGGAGGCAGTACCATCGTCGATGGTTCTTTCAATCAGCGAAAGACGAGATGTGTTCAGAGAACTTTGTCTGACGGCGCAAGAGGGTGTGACCTTCCCTAGCACTACAACAGGCAGACTAGTTATCTAAAGAGACCAGACAAGTGGTCTTCTAATTTGTCTTCCAGAACTTAAAAGAAGGCTACAAAGCGGTTCCCCTCTTATCAGTCCAAGCCAGAGACCCACCCTCCTTTCCAGAAAAGCACACAGAAAGAGACATTACAGAGTGATGGGAATGCTTCTGTGGATGAGGAAGAAGGCATGGGTCATCAGAGGAAGAATTATTGCCCAAAAAGTTGACAGGTTTTTGGGCAATAAAAACTTGTCAACAACCTTTTGGGCAATTAATCAACCCTTAATCACTTTAAGGATTGAGGTTAAGGGTTAATCATGTCAAGCTGGCAAATGCATCTTCTAGAGAAAGCTTCCTGCTTGCTTACCAGAAGTTCACTGCAGTCTGAGGCCACCTCCCAAAAGTCTGGTCTGATCCTGGTATGGACTTTGTCAGAGCAAAACCTGTCCTAGTAGAGAGGTACACTTACCTGAGAGAACAAAACAAAGAGTCTCTTGAAGAATATCGATGCCAGAGTTCAGAGCACAGAAGAGAACATCCATCACATCACGCCAAACACTCTGTTGCCTGGTCGTGCTACGCATAGAGTGGACTTCAAAAGCATCGACTACACCACTTACCACTTCAAATGACCCCAATAAGTGCAAAGCATAGTCAACAACAACCTGACAGTCCTGGAGCCAGCTCACTGTCCAAACCTGTTTGTTTGCATTAAGTGGCAAATTGCTGAACTGAATGTTGCCGTTGGACACAAAGTTTGGCTCTGTGACCAAAACGCACCGAGGGCAGTTCAAGCTCGTAAAAATCATCAGCGTGAATCCAGATTCCACAGCTGTCATTGGAGATGTCCATGTGAATCTCTCCATGTTGTAGTGTTTCGGTGAAGACTCCAAAACCGTACTTCATGTTGAGAGTGACCAGCTTACCTGATGTGGTGCGACCTTTCTGTGCATCACCACATAAAGATTGAGTGGGAACTGTCACAAAAACCAAGTCTGTCTGCCCATCTTTTTTGCCTTTCTAACTCTGCATGCCATGTGACTGCAGACAGAGCCACACACACCCCGCATGCACCCTGCACGGCTCTCCACCAGGTGAGCCTAATTATGTCAGTCAGCAGTTCCCTCTCAGACTGATGACAATACAGCAAAACAGTCAGCTGGTGTACAGGAAGCAAGACAGACAGTGTCTACACAAAGGCACTTAAACTGTGAGGAAAAGGACTATCAGTAAGCGCTCTATATAGAGTATTAAATGCTCTCTCCGGACATTTTTAGTTTTAGGTGGAAAAAATAAATGTATTGTTCAATCAGATTTTTCACCTGCATAACGCGTTACGCCTGTATCATCTGTTATATTTGTGCAACTGGTCAAACAAAAAAGAACAGTCAAATCTGAGGTCTGGTCCTGCTCCTGCTCCTTCAAGTGTAGACAACACACAGCCACTGAAACACTCGATAGAATATTTTTATTTTCTAAAAATATGCAGAAGACACATTTTCTGTACATACATAAAATCCCTGTGTGGTTTCTATGATTTGGTGTAAATAAGAGGTTTTTAGGAATGTATAGAAAATTAAGTTTTAATGGTTCGTACAATTAAACTGAGCCATACTTCTCACAGAAACAACAAAGTGCACAGCTACAGGACTAAATAAAATAATTGTCTGATTACTTGAAATATAGCCACCGTCTTACTTCATTATGTATAAATATTTCCATTGATTTAGAGGTGTATGATGAGAAGAAAAAACAACACATTTATCCTCACTGAGAACTTTTTTGTTTCTGTTGATACATCGGTTCGTTTTCAGGGTACATTATTAGACTTTTTCCTTTAGTAACAGTACTCTTAATTTACTTCAGAAGTACTTGCTAAGACCGTAAACTGGTCAGGTCTCCACACCTTATACAGCTCCTGCAGCATCTTGGCGTCCTCCTCTGCATTATGAGCATCGTAGGACCTTTGTAGAAAGATCTTGACTAAAGACACCTGAGAATAGCTCTGCATGCCCAAGAACAGTCTCTTGCTAAGCAAGAAGGTGTCCAGGAAGCCCGACACCACCTGCTGGAACTGAGGGTACAGGTCATACTTCTTCATCACTCTGGTGAGCACAGGTGCATCGAAACGCTTCACATTGTGGGCCGCCAGCAATACGGGGCGTTGGAAGGAGCGCAGGAAGTCGATGAAGGAGGTCAGAAGGTCATCGATTGGGATGGTTTCCACAGGAGACTCGTAGAGAACCAGGTGACCGGACTGTACTGTGAAGCCGTTGACCTCTGTGGCGCCCTCATCAATGTTTTGCTGAGGGACAGTGTATTTATTGAAGACTCTCTCCTCACAGACAGCGGCCAGTTGGATGATGTCACACTGTGAAGTATCTGAACGAAGACAAAAATAAAAGTAGGTTAAAATCCTCTAATGACGACAGCAAAAATGTTCCATTTTATTTAACGTTCCAGATCCTTTTAATGACATACAAATATGGGACAGAAACATGGATGATATCTTTAAAAAGACCGGACATTTACAGATTAATAGATTTACTGTAGAGAAGTTACAAAGAACAAAGCTGGTTCTTAATCCAGTCCTGATGAGTCAAACTGAAAGTGTCATGGAGTCACTGAACAGCATCATGACATTAACACAGACATGTAAAATAATACTGAAGAAATAAATATATAAAATAAAACATAAATAAGTGATAAGTCTCATATTACTGTTATGGTCTGTAACTTTTCTTCTTAGTATTAGATGTGGTCTCAACAAACCCATAGCACTTCAACAGTATTATCTCATCTCTTACCTGAAAACAGGGTCTGATTGTTCTTGCCATACGGTCCCCTGTATGAATTATTGCTCGAAAGGCCTTAACATACCAGTGTTTTCCTCTGCATTTACTTCAGTTCCTAATTATTCTAACATTTTATCCTTTGTGTATTTCCATTTAGTTTCCTTTGATTAGTGTTATCCTTTCTTGTTTTATTGTTATCTTCCTCTTTAGTTCCCCCCCCCCCCTGTTATTAGCTTGCTCCTGTTTTTACTGACATCACAATCTTCACTCATCATGCGTTTCACCTGAATCAGGAAATATGTATTTGAATAAGTTGGTCTGAGAACTATTTGTGAAGGTTTACCTGGTCACCGTCTGACCCCCAGGTTCACAAAACTCAAAGAACAAGCATTTATTCCTTCTCTAATTTGGATTGTTTTTTTTTTTAATACTTACCTTTATGTGCCAAACTGAGAGGATAAGTAGCATCTTTAATGATGTTCAGGTTACTCTTTGTAGAGACATGTTGCCGCTCCACCCTGCTCTGACTAATAAACCAAACTTAATTTCTCCATTCCTCTTTTTGGTGGAGACCGAGGTCTGAGTGGGAGTGAAATGTTCCCCTATCTTTACGTCACTGGAGCACAATAAAGAGGCCTCAGCTTCTTCCCACCTGAGCTAAGAGGAAGCCTTAATACTTTGTCTTCAAATAAACAAATATGAAGAGATGCACCATAATAAATGAGTCGGTTAGCAAAGAAATGTTTTAAAATGACATCTTGAAACTCACTAAAATGATCCGTAATATGGGATCGCAGAACAAGTGTGAAAACCCAACAAATATCAGCTAGTAATACTCTACAAAGACCAGACCTGGAAAAAAAAGTCTAAATAATAAATTAAAAACTGCAACTAAATTTGTAGCGTTCATTCAGGTATTTTGTTTTAATCTATGGAGCAAAAATAATAAAAATATTTCAGCTATTACAGACTAAAAAACAGCATATGAAAACATGTGTCCATAAATGGCATTTTGTCTGTTTTTATTTTAACATATACCTGTTAGCATTTGTGCCAGCTTTTTAGTTTAATAAGCAAAAATCCAGTGTATAGTTCAAGTTCAACTGCTTACTAATATTATTTACAACTACTCTAGTTCCTTTAATTCAACTACTAGTACTAATATATTCCACTTGCAGCTCAGAAGGTGAAATAGACATCATTAGAAACATAACAGTTTAACAAAAGCAGAAATTGTATACTGTTTAAAATAAGCACACCACCATATTATACATTTTTCTTTAAAAAGTAGATTTGATATTTGTTTTTTTATTCACACCAAACAAAAAAAAACACAAAAAAGAAACAAAATAATAAAATAAAACAATTTATGAAAGCATATGAATTAGTACTAAAGATTCTGATTTATGATGAGTGTTGTGTACAAACTGGGTGTGTGGGTTAGATTACCTAATCCAGTGGTCTCCAGGTCAAAGAAAACGATGATTTTGTCACCCATCTGGAATAAAATCAATTAAAGCCTCATTTAAAGAAACAGCT